CTCGGATTATACCAGGTTGAAGTCAGAAGAGAAAGCCATGTTCTCTCCGAGTGTTTGCAGAGAACCCTGAAATCTCAAGAAGAACAGAGCGGCAGGAGAGAGGGAAGGAAGTTCAGAGAAACTGTGGCTTACTCAGTCATTATGACTGTGTGGCTCCCTCTGCCATCTGCCACATGAAACATTTCTAGCCATCGCCACCACCTTTTCTTTTTTTTTTTAGCCGAGGTGCTGCTGTAACTGTCCCACAGAAATTCTTGTTCCTATTTTGACTTTCTGATTTAGCAGCAACAGAGACAGACGGACGGTTGCAGTGATGTAGGCTGAGGCGATTTTGTGGTCTCAGAAACATTTATCCAGTTTAAAAATAGTGCCCAATACATGGATAATTATAAAATGAACTTAGCAGCTGCAGCTTAAATTATTTTAAGATTTCAAATTAAATTTTAAACATAAGCAAGTTGTGATTTTACCAGAAAACCTGCATAAACCTAAAAGAAATTGTTACAGTAAGTACTAGTCAAAGTCTGAACTGAGGAAGAAAAGACAAAACAAAACAAAAAAAAACACCATCCTTTCTTCGCAGAAGATTAAAGGAGTCATGCGTGTATCTAATCCGTCGACCCCTATTTTTATCTGACTCAATAAAAAAATAGAGCAGCGTGACACAGAACCCTCTCACTCTACAGTCAGACAGGCCAACTGACTGACAGACAGGTGGGAAGACAGGAGGCAGCCGTCCAGTCTGCTTCTCTGACGTAACAAGTGACAGGGTTGAGCTTGCCGCTGATGACAAATTACAAAAGCAGGGAGACAGGAAGTGAAAGAAAGAAAGGAAGAGGGAGAGAGAATACCCCCTCCTCCTACTCCTCTCCACCTCCCCCTTTGAGTTCTGGGAGGCTGCTGGACTGGAGAAAGCAGAGGGGAGGAAGGGTAGTGGTGACGGCTTATTGTTTGAGCTCTGTGTGCTGCGGTTCCAGTCTCAGCACACACTCATACTAGCCCAGCTATTTATATCCTCTCAATATCCATGCAGGCGGAGGCAGGCTACAGTCATTTTCATCATTTCCTACATTCTGAAGACAAAGAAGAGACTACTTGCTGGGAGTGAGCCTGCTTGGACTACTTTTAGAGGATTGCCCCATTATTAATTGCGTTGCATTTTTGGTTTTCATAAGAACATACATTAGTTTAAAAAAAAAAAAATCCATATTCATACAATTAGCTGAAAGATGATTGTTCAGTTAGTAGCACCAAATATATTAAAAAGGGACAATCAACTCTATTAGGACTGCATTTAATGAAGTCAGGGGAGTTGCTAGATAAAGTCTGGTCTAATCTCAGACTATGCAATGCATGCTCTATGAGTTACCAAGGCACCAAAATGGCTTGCTCACCTGACTAAGGAGAGACAGAAGAAATGTAACAGATGCTTGAAATGTTGACTGTAGTTTCTGTAAGTATTTATCATCACCAGCATTTACCTTTAAGTTACTCAAGTCCTATTTTGAATGATGGGGCACGGAGCTCTTTGCAAAGGTTTATTCTGAGCAATTGTGATGGCAAGAGTCAACAAAGTGAAAGCAATACAGGTTCAAAAGTACAGTGCAAGTAGGTGTGTTTGGGGCTGGCTGTACAGACTTAATTACATCCATTAATGAGGTAGTAGGTGTGACAGACCAAGGAGAGCTCAGTGGTGATGTTATGCAAGTGTTCATGTTAAATGCAGAGGTGAACAGAAGGAAAAGATGACTTGGGTTCTTGGAAGCTCCTCAAGTAGAGATGAGAGGTCTGAGATAGAAACAGACGGGGAATTGCAGTCGATGTGAAAAAAAAGTTCACTGGGGAAGCAGTTTAACAAGGGGACTACATCAGCGAGCCAGGTGGGAACGGAGACATAAAGCCCCGTGTTCAGTGGGTGGTAGTGACAGAAGTCAAACTAATAACCAATGGATTGTCCATTAATCAAATTATCATTGATGGGTTTGTTCTTTGAAAATCGAATGCTTAAATTAGTCCCAGCCATTAATATGACCAGGCTGCCTGCACAACTAAAGTCTGTAGCCATTTTGCACATGCACTTCAAAACTTTGAACTTTTCTAGATATTCTTTCTTTCGTTAAGTTGTAACGACACAGAAAAAAAAATACTGAATGCTTTATTGTTACTCCGGCTTGCAGGCTACCACATTTATTACTTCAAACAAAATAAAGGGAATTTTCCATCCTTCTTTGTAAAAGAAGGATGGAAAATTCCTACCATCACTTATGACAGACTACCTAATTCAAAGTGTAGCTCTATTACCACAAGGTGCCGCTAGCAGCATTACGACTCTGCTGCAAACAGATAGTTCACAAACAGCAGTAGTTTACAGTACCACAACAGAAGCCTAATGTAAACACAAAGTACCTAGGTAGTGTTTTACTGAAATTTTAAATAAAAGCATAACATAACTGCTTAGCAGGTTAACAGTAAAGTAATGTAACCTTTTAACTCTTCAGCAGCCTGCACAATATGACAGAAGGAACAGTCTTCTTGCATATTTTCAAAGCATTGTGCTTGTTCAACATTGCTGAACTAGCTTCCTTTTTACTAAATCGTATTGCGTGCTACGGAACATACACTCATGGTGCCCTCATGTCAACGACACACTTTTAGGCCACATAAAAATTTACACCCGTATTTATTGCAGATCATGTTAAATGTGTCTCCACATTGTAGTGGTTTACACATTTGCCAGAAAAGTGAAAGATCCCGAGTTTGATTTTGAAAGGAGACACAAATCCCTTTTGGGATTGCATCAAGGAAAGCATCCAGAGTAAAAATCTGCCAGATTAAATATGTGCGGCTACCTGCTGTTGCAGCCCATTATAAATAAGGGAGCACCCAAAAGTAGCTGCTTCTTCTCCTAGCAATTGTCAGTATTGAGATAATTCTGATCTCAATACTGACAAAACCTTTTCTGGAAATGAGCAGCCCTGTGAAAACATCCCTAACAAACTGCTGTGTGCTAAATGTGCCCAGATTCTCCAGATTTTCCAGACTCTGTGAAAACAGCTCAAGTGTGGGAAACAATGCAGTGTATATGTGTATATAAACAAATCAGCACACGCAGTCATGGCTTAATATACTATACCTTAAACGTGCACATTTATATACGTTATTGGTTTAAACATCCTAGGAGAGTGACTGAGGAAGGGGATACACAGCGAAACCGCCTGCTGATTCTGCTGTTTTCATTGCCTCTCCTATTCCTTTGATGCTAAACCGCGACAACTCCTCTATTCAGAGCAGAAGAGGAGACGAGGAGGCAAAGCACGGCGATGGAGACACAAAGAATCTCATTAGAAGCAGCCACAGCGGGGTTCGGGTACAATATGGCAGCAGCATTAGTGGCAACAGCAGCTCAGAATCTCTTCAATAAAAGCAGCATTCAGGGGCAGTGGCACTGAGACCACGCAGAAAAAGATTCAGTGGACAATAAAGGAGGGAATTAGGGAGAAGAGAGGCATACAGGGAGAAGATGAAGCCAAAACCCAAATTGCAAATGACACTTGAAACTATTATGGTTCAAAACAGTGATTATACAGACTGCCTGCACAACGAGTAATCCCAGATTTGGAAATAGCCGGAATATTTTCCGCCTTTGAAAATAAGGTAACTACAAATGGATGTTACTGCTCAAGAGAAAACAACAATAGCTAGAAACAGAGCGTTCTTCTGAAAAAATGAGAGATACACTCATCAGGTTGTCGTGGTCAACGAGCGTTTGACTGGCCAGACCAATCACAAAAGGCAGTCATTGATAAATCCTTTCTGCTCAGCAATTACAATATTTATATAGTTTACCAAATTTAATTGACGAATCACTACTATACTTTTGATCTCCACATTATATTTCCAATTTAATATACGTGTGCTATTACATAATGTTTCTTTAACTGCCAACAGATCTTTGTAACGCAATTAGGATGCAGAAAGAGAGAGGAAGATGATACTAAATGAGAGAGAAAAAGATGCTCACAGATGGAGAGGACAGAGATCAGGAGAACAAGGACATAGAAAAAAAGAGGAGGAGTCAGACGAGCGTAGAGGACTGGTAGGTGTAAATGACAGCGGCTAGAGGCATGGAAGTGTGGTTTCTTGGCAGAGGACTCTATCTGCTCATCCTTAATGCAGTCATCTGTTGGTTCCATCGCCAACCATGAATAATAAAGGCTCCACCCTGCTATGCCAGTACTCTGAATTATTAATTCACAACCACAGACTTGCATTAGCGCACACTATGGGGTACGGACACATTTGCCTGTTTAGACTTGCGCACACAGTGTGTGTGTGCACATGCATATTCACCACACTGACAACGAGTGAAATTAGTGTTCTCTCTGAAGCTTCTAGCAGGTTTTTTTTTCTTTAGAAAACTGCTGTGACAGAGAGAAAGTGATGTTTCTTTGTTTTTGTTTACTTGGGGTAATCATTACAGTTACTTCCATGTAACTATCAAAGCATGTCAGATTTAATAATAAACAACTGTAGAATTGCTAAAACAAAACTATAACAGGAATTTCTAAAATCAACACATCAAAATAATGACGACACGTAGCTATCCTTTTGCTTTGACAGGGATAAACTACACTTAAAATATCTCGCAAGCATAACCAGTTCAGAATTACTAATGTTTCAGCCATAATAGTGCACCCCAAGAGATACCATTAACTAGGTCATTGGTTTCTTTTCATAGGCTTGGTTAAGTGATGTAGCCCAATTAGCTTAAAGGAGAACTGACAGATATAAATGTGCAATGCTGCTGTGACTGTATGTTAAACGCTCAACACTGAAAATGAGGGACGGTCCAAAGAATGGCTGTGTGCACGACAGAAATGAAAATATTCACATTTCACCATATAAACAATGCCCTACTTTAAGTCCTTTTAAAATCATACTAAGCATGCTGAGGACGTTAAAATGCAAGCGCACACACACCAAAAACTCCTCTTACTCACCTGCTTTGCATCTGCTGCAAAAAGAGCCTAACTGAAAAGACACTCTCCTACACACTGTGCCTCTGTTAAATCAAAGCAGAAAACATCTCTGCTTCCCCACACAGATACCAGGCAACACAACCTGCCAAACAGTCTATTGTTGGGCTGGAAAACAACACAAGACTAGCAGAAACAAAACAGAATGAGAAACCCGCAGTGAGCACATTCGCTCAGAATATACAGCTGTGTGAACGTTTTAGTGCATGTGCTTCTACGAGAATGTGTAAACTGGAAAAATGCATTTAGGCAGCACATCCAGATCTTGTTTTTACCACTGGACACTGGGTGTTAAGGTGACAGTAATGGTGTAGGTGAGAAAACCCAGGTAGACAGCGAGGCAGGCATGAGGTATTAGGAGACTTTCTGCTAATGCAGAGCCAATGTTTGCACAGACAGCAACTGCAAATCTTCCCTGCAGAGAGTAGGACTTGGGGATTTCTTCTGCAAATTTATGAAAGCTTGACAGACTTCATGCACCGATAACCCCATTCACTCTCACAGTCCAGGGACAGGCACACAGCCTTAAAGTGAAGTTTGATGCACTGTATGACCTTAAATACAGTTTTAAACCTTGGTCAGTAAAATAACATACAGAATTAGAAAATTACAAAAAATATGTTATAAAAAAAAAACAAACAGACACTGTTTACTCTGCTGAGATTTGCAAGTTGACCTGCAGAGTTCATAAAGTTAGGGCTTCCTCCATTTGTGGTTAACAAGTACATACGTGATTAACAAATTGAGCCAGTCTTAGGCCATTTTCACACCTAGAGTTCGCTTACTCTGGTCCGGATCAGTTGATGAATTTGTAAACTTGTAGTTTTTACTCATGGTTTAGTTTATTTTCACACAAAGAAAAATCCAAGGGAACGCGTCACTACAACCCAAGTGAGAGTTTTAAGTCTGTTCTGGGTGGGAGTAACAGAGTAAATACAGGAAGAAGGTGCTGTACTGGATGACTATTGGAAAATATTGAGTATTTACATCATTTTTTCACAGATAGTTGCTAGTCTGTACAGACCTTTGCACATTTATTGTATCTTCCCGCATTGAGAATTCAAAGTTTATGTGGCTATGGGGCTTTTTATTCCTTACCTCAAACTTGTAACGTACACCTGGTTATTGGTCCGGATCGGTTTCGCACAATAAAGAAAGTGCTCTGGAGCTCATTTGGGACCGTACCGAGACTCCTCCTCCAAAGGGTCTCAGTGCAATTGTTCTGGTCCCTACCAAAGTGCGATTACTGTGTTCACATCTGCACGAGCGAAAAGTACTAATAAGAGAATTATTTTCACAGTTAAAACTCACCATAATACAAATACAGGACTTTTCCAGCTTCACAATGGGCCGTTGGTGAGTGCCTACACACATAAGGTAGATTGTTCCGCATACAGTTAAGACAATGAGTCTACTACCTTACTCAACAAACACATATACAGTCTTCCTCTATTTCTAAATCAACAAATGTATTCTATGTTTGAGGAAATTAACCCCAGTTTAAAAAGCACTGGTTAAAATTATTTCTCAGGAATCCTGATATATCCATGCATAACTATGGTCTAAAAAAATTAAACAGTATGGCCTTTATTAGTATCATAACTTCACAATGAGCACGAAGGAACCTCCTGTGCCAGTAACAAAAAACCTTCTACTTGCCCTACTGAGACATAAAAACAGGAAGAACATTGGACAAGAACCACAGAAAATGATCTAAAAGCCTAAATTACTTGAGACAACGAGATTAAAACTCAAAAAGACCAAATAAATACTTTGGGAGAAGTGTGTGGATATGAAATGACCCTGAATTCTTACATTCCCAGGAGACTCTGCCTTTACAGAAACTTGAGAAGGATGGGTTTATTTTCCTTAGACACTGACCCCATAAAGTTGTCGACATCAGGAGTCACAGCAGATGATCTGTAAATGAGTGATAAAATGTATGTACACAACTCAGAGTGGACTATGAGCCTTTGTGTGAGTGTGAGATGCGCAATTTTATGAAAATTAGGTTCATTTGGATAAGCTCTTAACTGGTTAACATATTCAGTCAGTCACTTTTTTATTTGTTTAGTGCATTGTGCCTGCGTCACTTTTTTAAATTTAGACTTATTTATTCATTTTTAATTTGCATGTACTGGTACGTAGAATACAATTCTGTTGCAAATACCAATTTTGTTAAAAACTGTTCATTTCATCCAAGCCTGGAGTCTGAATTGTCAGTTTTAGAGCCTTCTTTCTTTTGTTGTTCTGTTGTAGTGCACTGAATTGAGATGGTGATGCAACAAATGTCTTTGTGATGCCCGTAGACTGACAGAATATGGAAAACTGAAGACATACAGTTTAAAAAGCATACATTTTTCTCAAGACATCCCAGGTTGTTCACTTGTTTTGTAGATAAATGGTTTATTAAATATTGTTTTCATATTGAAATGCTTATTTATAATATAAGAGAAAAGAATAATCTGGAGGTGTTTTGAATAGATTATTATGGAACTGTTTTATTGGGCCAGGGTGTCAGACAATCAATCATACAGCTTAGTAAGAATATGCAAGAAAAAGGGAAAGAGCCGAGTTCCGAGTAGAAACTAGTTATACATTGCAAACTATGCAACCAATAACACCTGCTAACATGCATACTACTAGATCAGCCTTCAGTGTATTTCTAAAAATACACGTTTAACATTGAGGTTCCATTGGACCATGTGTAACAAGACTAGCCTGGGAATTGAAACTTGCAAAAGAAAAGCCTTGTTTTCAGCCTGAAACTTAAAATGACCATGATGGTGGACTTGATTTATAACAAGATCCAAGCCACACAATGCTGAATCTAATGAACATGTAAGATTCCCATTGTGTACGTACCCTAAATAAACGATCCTCAGCAACAGATACAGAATGTAACGTAAACTTCCTTAAAGACCAAATAATTATTTTTTATTTTACCCGCCACCATTATTCAGAGTATTAAGTGCAACAAAAATATACTATTTCTCTCTATTTTCAATATTTCAAGTGCTGACTAAAACACGTGGGCTATACTATTAAGCTATTTTTGTGAGGTAGGATTTTAATTTATGAAACACAATAGGCGGCCTTTAATCAGTCCATCTCTAATCTGTAATTATAAACCCACTTACATATACATCTATTCAGCTGCCACCTACTGCTCAGAATATTATTTTCTTGAGATTATTAGCTGTTGTATCAGAAACATGCTCAGATGTAGGCCAGTTAACGATAACCATCTGCACTTCTAATGTAATCTCTTCTAAGACAAAAAAAGAAAGAATAAAAATGTTGCTTTATTAAAAAGATAGCCTGAGGGAAACTGCACACAAAATAGATCAAGTAAAATCTTCCTTGTATTAAAGAGGAGCTAATTCAGGTCACTTTACATCTGAGCACTTTGTGTGACATCATTAAAGCACAAGCGTTTACTGTATCTTTGAAGTGTATCCGATGACTCGAACGCATTGGGGGGTTGAGGAGGGCAGATAAAAAGAGGAACTGCTGAAGCCTCCCTGCTAAGACAGGATTCATTGCCATTATCATCAGTGAATCATCTTGTATTCTTTTTAGAACAGTCAAAATAATTCCAACTGGGTTTAATGTCACCATAACTGAAGCAAAGGAATACACCAACTTCATAGTGACTGCACTACTTCCTCCGTATTTCCCCCCACTGGCCCAAATATGAGGCGCTTCAGTGAACCAGGACGCAGGTGTTATATGTAGAAAGTCAGACTGAACAGGCAAATGAGATTTAACCAAAGGACAAAGCATCCGAACACACAGGGTATATACACAGCAGAGAGGTGACAAACTAGAGAAGCCTTAAACCACGAATCATATGATGAGGAGATTTGGTGCCCCCTCATCCCGTGGGAAGCATTTTATGAATTTTTTACAAATTAATACACAGTAGTTCTGAGTCATCACATTGTCCTGTGATTAAACTTTCCATCCTGGTGGAAGTGGTCTTTTCCAGGATGTGCACACCAAGGGTGAATGAGTGGTTTGATGAATATGAAAATGATGTGAATCACATGCTATGCACCTTGCAGCCACTACATTTCAACCCAACTAAACACCTTTAGGTTGTGTTAAACTCCGCCATTATCAAATAAGGTAAAATCTTTTGGAAGAATAGCGTTCCAGAGACTTGGAAAAAGTGCACTGAAGCTGTTCTGACAGAATGGGATGGCCCAGCAATTGGCTAATAAACTTCGTGTAGACAAAACTGTCAGTTTTTCCTTGTATCGTGTAACGTGGTCCATTCAACTAGTTGGTTTATAGATGAAAACAACCAGACAGAAAAGGAACTCTACTGAAAAAATCCTGTCAAATAAATACACTGTATCGTAGGGCTGGGCGATATGACCCAAAATTCATATCTCGATATTTTTTAGCTGGATGGCGATATAAGATATATATCTCGATATTTTTTTAAGCCATAAAGTAAGAACAAAAAGAGAGTTCTTAGTCAAAGCTGTGTCCCAGATGTCACACAGGCACTTTTATTAACATACAGCACAGATGTACATGAAAAATTACTCAAAAATAAATTATGAGCATTCATTAAATAATAATGCTCCATAAATAAAAGAAAACAAGGTTGTTTTTGTGCTAAACAAAGAGCTCACAATTGTGCAGTCAAAATGTAAACTAAAAGACGCTGAGCGTAATAACAAAGACAGATTTCACAGCTGCTCTGTTCCCAAGTTTTACTGTGTGACTGATAGCCTGGAGTTTGAAATCCGCTTCATAACCACGTCTCTTACAGGTGCCATTTATGGTCCTTATACACACACAATATGGTAATATTACGTTGATGCACAGTACGTATCACTCCGCGAAGCTCCTCGGTAGCCGTAATGCGCCGACAATCGATCAAGCGGTGCAGCTCCGTAGCTTAGCAAAGTCGTACTCAAACATTTTTGACAGATTGCTGAGCGCCGTGTACCACATAAAATCGGTTCGCGGCCATCAAGCACAACCAGAATTATACATAAGGCGCGACTATCAACTTTTGAGAGAATGAAAGGATTTTAGGGTTAGCGCGGTTAGCTCGTTAGCATGTTTAGCTCTTAACACGTTGATGCCGTCCAGCCCCACGCATGGGGCGATGCGCAGTAACTCGTTAACGGAGATTTGCCGTGTCCGTCTTGTCGCTGCCTGCACGTGAAGCGATGGGGGAGGAGGGGGAGTTGTCTTCAGTGAAGGAGAGGCGGAGTAACGTTGCGTAGAGACAAAAGTGGACGAAAGAGAGGCAAACTTGCGGCTCCACAACTATAATTATAACGTAACATAGACTATATCGATATAAAGGATATTGTCACATCTTATATCTCGTATAAAAATATATCGATATGTTTTAAAAACTCGATATATCGCCCAGCTCTACGTATCGCAACAAAAATCCTTTAACTGACCTAAACCTTTGACTGGAGATATTACATGGGACAGCTGTTCTGAATCAAAATCTCAACGATCTTTGTGCAATAATCAGGTGGCAAGACTCAGATATTTTCATATAATTTCTTCATTTTCTTGGCAAAAGGAACCTAAACTGGATAAGCAATCGGGAAAGTCAAAATATAAAGGATAGAGTTGCTAATCTATAACAAATGGAGCCACTGATATAACATGATTAAACAATGTTTTAGTCATGTAGCGCATGTTAAAAAGTCTGTTGCAGTGGTTTAAAAAATACATTAACATGCATGTAAGACCTATACAGATATAAACAAATGTATATATATATATTAATATATATACACATTTTAAGTTCTTGTGTTTAAGTGTTTAAGTGCTGTTGTGCTTTAGCCATTAGTCACTACCTTAATAACATAAGACAGCTAAAGTCGCTATCGGGTGATGCTAATAGCTAAACAGCTAACGTTACCATGTGTGGTGTACCGTTTAATACTTCAATGGGAGGTTTAACGGCCTTCTCCAAATTTGTCCTAAAGTGCTGTTCACTGCTGTGAATGTCATCTATGTCGTCTACTAGTGAGTGCAGCGGCTGTGTGCCTGCCTGTCTGAAGTGGTGCCTGAACTACAGAAGGCAGAGATCATCCTTTTGGTACTGACGCCGTTGCAAATTAGTATCCAATTCAATGAAATGGGCTTTACACCAGCAGCGAATCATTTGGTCTTGTGCTCTTCTGCATGATTCCACTGAAAGAGGAAGTGTCCAACTGTTTCCCATAGCGAACACATATCCTTTTCCTCATTAATTTAAATCAGCTCTTGCAAAATCCAAAACAACCTGATGTCATCAAGTTGATCTTTCATTTAAATAACCAGTCACTGTGTCTGCTGCTTTTCACCATGAGGTAACTCTTGGTAGACAGGTAAAGGTAAGGTGGTGTATTGAAGGATGATCCCAGTGGTTAAATGGCAGTTTAATTTTGGACTCAGGGGATTCTTTAGCATGCTATATCTAAGGTATTACTTCATGTTAAAAATGGTTGAAAAGATCTCATGGGGTTGTTATCAGGCTTCTTTTCTGATGACAATACCTCTTAAAAATATAAAGCAACCACACAAACAGGAAGCTTACATATGAAACCAGAAAAAATATTTATGGACAGCTGTGACTCATCACACACTGAAAGTACAGAAAATGACAAAATTAATAGAAATAAAACTGTTTTCTTGGTTGTTGGTAGTATCTTCATACGTTCAGTAGCAGCATGTGAACAGGCAAACAGGAAAATGCTAAAATGTCGGATTATATCATTATCCTTTTGTTAAACAGTTCCCAGTAGGAAATCTCCGGAGCCCGTGGGCGTAGTGAAAGACTAAGGCATGTGTCAGGCCTACAGCTCTCCTCATTGCCTGCATTGTGCAGCTAGCCAGCAGGCGTGGCGGTAGAAGGCCCCCAGTCGTCAAGGAGCTGTCCAGCCGCTGCCCAGATGGAAAAGCCAAGCTGAGTTTGCATGCAAGACGGCTGCCACAATTACACTATTCTACTGGGATGCATGATCAGTAGGAGGAAGTGGATGTAGAGGTTTTGCCTCTATTACAGCACGGGGGATGGACGGAGGTCAGAGAAGATGCAGTAGTGAAAAAGCGGGCGAATAAATCATGAGTGTGAAACTGTGCTAAACATCCATACAGAGAGATTAATATAAAACAATATACAAAAAAATATAAATAGCTACGTCTTCAGCAAGTTATCAAACTGCTCCAGCTTTAACTTAATGGCCTGCAGCATGCAGCTTGTCCTTGTTTTGCTCTGCATCCTCGCAGAGCTCAGTGTGGTGGCACAAGTGTTAGTTCTACAGCTCCTGCAGGTTCTGGTGAGACCAGCCCTCCAGCTCAGTCCAAGACACCTGGGCTAGAATCTATTTGAACGTGTGATTTACAAATAAATCATTGGAGAAGAAGCTACAAAATGTTGAAGACTGCCAAAACAGCAACCTGCCAGCCTGACATTAGTAGAAACACATGAAAAAAAAAGGCCTGTGCTGCTTATCAGTTACAGTTACTAAATTGAATGAATTGTTACTTAGTCAGCTATTAATATAACTGCACCCAGAAAACTCTGATCTCGATGTTGCAGAGCAATGTTGACTGATATTAGCCTTTCTGTCAGTTGCTGGTCTATCTGTAAATAAGATGACCATTCACATAAGGAGACCAATGTTTATCTACTTGGTCACATCGATTTTATAGTTTTTGTGCTCTGGTTTCAGTATTTTGTAAGACTGGCTTTGTGCTCATTTAAAGACAGTGTGATGAAAAGTTAAAAGGTTGTGATCAGTCCTTTAATAAGATGGTAAATTTTATGTTTTCAGGTTTTGGACTGTAACCTGAACCTGTAAACTACAGTAATGAGTTGGATAATGACTCATCAAATAAATCGATAATAAAAAAATTCAACACAAATTCTTTGCTTTAATGCTTTGCTTAACTAGAAAAATTAGCAGGAGACCTTCATCAAACACCCACCGCAGTTTGTTTTACATAGAGAAAAATCAGTAATCCTCCAGAAGTTGTAATTAACATCTGCAGATGAACTGTTAACTTAATCTGATACCCCATGTTTAAATTATATAGCATGGTGAAGGCTGATGGCAGCCGACCTATTTTACATGGAAGTGACACCTGCAGAAAATGGGGGTGAATCTAAAGGGGAGCATGGGGTGTACTAGACCACATTTATTTCATAGTTTTCGCAACATTTTCAGATTAAAAGTGAAATAATATAAAATATCATATTAATTAAAGTGCATTAATATTTAAAAATATAAAAATAAATGGGGGGTTTTTCACATGCCAATAAAAATGTACATGGGCCAGTAAAACTTTGATCTTCTGACCTGAGAGTTGTTAGGTTATTATTAATTAACATTTACACCATCATAACATCTTGTTTTCAGCAGCACAAAAACTCTCCTTCAAAGTCCAGGGCAAACTTCAGAATGCTGATATGCTCACTTCTCTTCATTGCAGCCACGACATCCTCCTTTAAAGGCTTATAAAATAACTAACTCATTCACTCGCACACTTGAACAATGTACGCACACATATGCACATTCCTTTTGGAAACCACCAATATGGCTTGGGTTTTGGGTTTTTTTTGTTTTTTTGACAGACATATGCAGTTAAACTTTAAAACAGGCCACTCACACACTGACTCTATTCAGACCAAGTCTTTTCTTTGCACTACTTCTCCAATGTGCACCCACAATTTTGTTGTACATGTACACTGACAATAAATGGAAGTTCTATTCTATTCTAATTTCTAAAATGGAAACCAATGAGCAGTTCGTTTTGAAAGACGTATGTCCTTTTACTAATATGACAAAAGTATTTTGTATCCAATTAATCGGTGGAATAATCAATAGATTACGTGATTACTAAAATAACTGATATAGACAACATTATGATACAATTGTATCATAATGTTATGCTATATGATGAAAATTATGATCACCTACCAGCTGAGACAATTAATCTGTTGTTCACTACACAGTTATATCCAGTGATACTGTGTGATGCACCTAAAAAGGGGAAGGAGTGCAGGTGCAGTGCAGATGTGCTGCCAATTTCCGTTTCTATCATTCTTTCTAATCACGTGTACCACGTCTTGCCACTTTGCATCTTGCAAGGTCTAACATAAAAGTGCATTACTCAGGAGGTACACACAATAAAAGCAGCAGACACAATACATCACACTGAGCTACTAACACACTACACCACGATGCTAAAATGAACACAGCCATGAAATAATTGATGAATTCATCCATGCAGAGTGACATGAGAGCCTACTGTGCCTTGCACTATGTGTGAAATCCTGTTGCTCATGGATGTCAGTATTAGAGACACAACAGTACAAACATTTCATATCA